GAAGCGATTCAAAAACATAACCAACGCGCATATAAATAGGTTCAGGCCACCTTAAACCAGAACGAACACATCTCCTCCATAAAGAAATGCCTTTTTGTGCCTAAAAACCCGTAGTCCGTGAGCAAATACGGGAATGGAGAGAACTGTTGCCTAAGAAATCAGGATCAACTGCTTCAATTGGTTTCAAGTATAGAAAGAAACTAAAAAAAAGTTACGTTTTTCAAAGATTATCTTACCTCTTCGAAGATGTTCAGTTAGTGCTCAGCAAACTAACAAGTTAAATTGGGCAGTTTTTTTTAGCTTCATTTATACCCATGAACATGCATGCGTATAAATATCAATATAGTTCTGGATGTTTCAGTATAGATATTCCTATAACTACACACGGGTTTACAATACGGGTTAATTACCTTTTATTTTTAGCTATAGTAAAAGAGATTTAAATTGCCCTTCTTCAATATTTCTTCTGGAAAGCTAAATCTGCAAAGTATGTATAAAAGCTATATACATTACAAATAAAGTCTTCGAGAAGAACATTAAACGACCGGGCAAACATGTACAAATATCTTTAACTTAAGCTCAACATAAACGGTATCTAACCCATATCGTATACCGCTCAAAAAAAGAAAGAAAAAAAGTGTATAGCTTTCATGGTTTTTCTTGAAAATGGCTACGTATTACTACATGCATACAGTATAGCTTCTCGACACTGAGGCGATAGAAGACAGGGAATATTGGATGACAGTATTAACAAACATCAAACAAGGACCTTAAGTGACAAATGCATGGTTAAATTTCTGAGAAAGTTGTTCCAGTTTCTTGGTTTGACTCAAGATTAGGACAGCCATCTTTGTCGTAAATATATATAATCAGGGGCACTGAACAACGAAAACATGCAGCTTTATTTGCACGATGATAAATTTTTACAGTATTGCAAAAGTATAAAATTAACAAAGGAAAAACTAAAGAAAAAAAAACATATGCAGTATTGGTTTTCAGGTGTATACCAATGCTGCTGGTCATGAGACGGATTTCGTGGTTTGACGCCCGAAGCAGGTTTCATTGCGAACTGTCCTTTACGTCACCATCAAAAAAATTCTGATTTTAGAACATGTCCTCGGGATGAAAAGGTCTGTGGGGTCTTTCGAGAAAACGGGTCTTTGACCTGCGGGAGTTAGATTTGGTCAAAAAAGGCGTTTCAAGGTGGATGTTTACAGGGGTTTCAAGTGGTGTAATAATGAGACTCGCGAGCTGAAAGGTAATATACCATTAATATCAGGAGATAAAGTTAAACCGCAAGATTTAAAGTGATCTGTGCCGATATTGCTTTTCAGATATGCTATGGAAAAGGCGCAAATCTGCTGTAACTATAAATAATAATTAAGAGGTCTAATCTAACAACCTAATACGTCAAGGGCACAGCTTAGAATAGGTCCATCACAGTGACTGAGTTGAGGCCTATATTTGGCCATAGAATAGCTAGACTATAATGGGGTAGGGGTTCTGAAAGGTCAGCTGCCAAACTCATTAAAAATTAACGCAAATAACCCCCTACCGGGTACAACAGGTCCAATTTCCAAGTGTGACGGAGCAATAATGATAGTACAGGTACCCATGAGCAACATGAGCGTAGAAATGCACTGATCAGTGACTGATTGCCTTTCGCACCAAAGAGCCGGTCGTTCTGTGTGCGAAAGGAACATAGTAAAAAAAGGTCGGCGGGTCATTCGTCATTTTCTGGTGAATAACCATAATCAGTCTCTTTGGTGAAAACTACTTGCGTGTAATCTGTTCTGCATTTTCCTTTGTACTTGAAAATGTTTGCGTTTTGGTCTTCGAGAATTAATTAGAGTGGAAAAAGGGAAGAAGGCAACTTTTTTGAACCTGGGTCATACCCAGCACTTACAGTTACCTTTAAGAATTTATTAACAGTCTTCTAGAGTCATTTCATCTCCATGTAGGATAACGTTTGTGGCTTTATTTCACCCAGATACAATATTTTGGCTTTTGTATGGCAAATTAACTATTAAGCCCTTAAAATTAAAGTTAGAATGAAATAGCCCGCATGCATACATCATCGGATTCATCCTTCACGGCTATCAATTGCCACGTCTTTGTTTAAAAGCGTTAGCTCATCTTGTGGGTGAGGAGGGGGGGGGAGGGAATGTCCAGATTTTGAGTGACGGGAATGATCGAGGGTGTTTTGGGGGTTTGAAATTTTAGTACCTTCCCGGCCGCATAGTTCAACTAATAAAATACAACCAAACTTGTTTTGTGCTTGTTTAAAAAATCAAGACACTACTTGTATCTCGCAATTGAATGAATATTCCATAAAATAGGTCATGCCTGATTTTCTTTTGCAGTGTTTCGGGGGGGTGTATCCATCCATCAACAGGGCTTCATTACATTTGGCCGTTGACTTCTCATCCATCGTCGAGATCACTGTGCAACAGCTTTCACCGTCACAAGAATTCCCTTTTGCTATTATAGTGAATTCTCAGGTTCGAAAATTTCGGAATAGATTGTTTGGTTATTTTTTTGTCCAGGGATTTTTTTTTTAGTTTTGTTGGAAGCTCTGGGAATTTTTTTTCCGATCTTTGCTTTGATCATCCCCTTCACTTGGAATCCGGAGTATCCCTCCCCCCCCCCCCCCCCCCCCCTATCAAAAAAACTGAAGCCCTGCTTTAAAAAAAAATTTTTTTTCTTTCTCTTTTCTTTGAAAAAAAACTGTCGGAGGTCTATTTTTGAAATAAACTTTTGTTTTTTCTTTTTGTTCGATGGGCAAGTCACACACGAGACTCCCCCTCCATCAAACCCC